TATCTACATTACCTGACCTTTATGTGTGTTCTTTTGCAACATTATGGAACTAATTCTTTTTCTTGTAATGTGTATGCAGGAAGAGAATAAATTGTTAGAGAAGGCTAACAGACAGAAGGTGCTAGAGGTCGAGAAGCTCACGCATACCATTAGTGAACTTGAAGAGTCCATTCTCGCAACTGGCGAGGTTGCCAATGTAGTGCACTTCTATCAGAATCAAGCTACCAAGTTGAATGTACATGCAAAACCTGTGCTCAAGTAATCCAGATGTTGGATTCCACCAATTTCTTAGTTATTTATAAGATGTTTAAAATTTTAGGAGGAAAAGAGGACCCTTGAGAGGGAGCTAGCTCGAGCCAAGGTTTATGTCAATCGTGTCGCATCGACAGCAGCGAATGAATGGAAAGACGACTCTGACAAGCTGATGCCAGTCAAGAGATGGCTAGAAGAACGAAGGCTCCTGCAGGTACCGTACTAAGTCATATTTGAAATGATGACCATTGGCATGATGTTGTTACAAATATTGTACATGGTGAAGTAACAAATTAACAATCATGTAGGGAGAGATACAACGACTACGTGACAAGATAACAATAGCAGAAAAGTCTTCTAAGATTGAAGCCCAGCTTAATGTAAGTAAACTAGTGTTTACATATAAAGTAATTATTTCAAGCAATTTACATCAACCAAATCTTAAAATATATTTTCTCTAATTTTGGTTTGTTTCCTAGGACAAACTCAAAAGGAGGCTTAAGTCACTCGAAGATGACATGAGAAATGAAACATTCAACTCATCTACAAAGGAAATTAACAAACAAGCCACTCCCAGAAGATCAACGTCTCAACCAAAGCAACGCAAAACAGCGAGAGTGTTGCCTCAACCATATTCACATGAAGCCATTGATAGGAGAAGGCCTATATCTCAACCAAGGGCATCAGTGGCAGGGAAAGTATTGAAGCAACCTGATTCAGAAACCAAACCTACAGAGAAAACTAGAGTTGTGAAGCGATTTGATAGCCCTAGAGCGAGAACGGTTTCTAGTAAAGATGAGTGTCCAATAAAAAATCAACTATGGGCATCAAAAGGCAAAATGGATGTTGATGCCGGGAAAGAGAACAAAGTACAAAACCCAAATTCCAAGACACATTTGAATGTTTCACATTCACAAGGGCATGCAGACACAAAAGTGTTTGATGGAAATGATGAATATGGAATTCAAAGTAGCGAACATCATGAAGCCATGGAGAATGAGAGAAATGGGGATTGCTCCAGTGATGAAAGTAGCCCTTAGAACAACAACGCAAGTTGGGGTGTTGGGTTTTACTTTTGCATGAGGACACATAATGGAAGGGTAAATAACATTATCATGTACAGGTAAACATCCTAAATTCACCTTTGTATGCTTGGTACTTCTTGGATAATTTATTTACTAGTTGTCTTTGAAGCTAATGTTTCCTTTTTCTTTTCTTCTGGGACCATGGAAGTTGAACAAATGCTACCAAACATTTTGTATAAACATTATGGCACCTAAAATATTTTTCTAATTTTTTTGTTTTCTTTCTTTCTTTCATACAGATGCTACATGACTTGTTTGAAAGGGAGTGTGCACCCATCTACAACTAATTTATTCTGTTTGGGTGATTGCTTGAACAACAACACTAGTTGAGGTGTTATCATCTTGTCTTGTTTATTATCTGTTCTCTTGTGTAGATATAAGCTATACCTCAAAGTCTATAAATGTAATTTTGCGTGATTGTTGAAAGAAAAGAAATCAATTTATGCTCCTTTTGATGAATTGGTTATTTTGTCAAATCAAAGGTGTTGCTAATATAATAGAAGCAGAAAAAGAAGAAGTGAAGACTGTGAATCAATAAAACCATGGATGTTGTTGATTCCCGTTAGCTACTCTCATTTGCAATTTCCTATTTCAGTATGTCCTATCCTACCTACCTACCTTTGAGTTCCATTTAATACAAAGACACACAAATCCAAATGTATAAGAGTTTGAGTACTAATAAACTAGGAATTTATCTAGATTTGTTATGCGAATGATGTAATGTGGTGTTTAAATTAAGGGAGTAAAGTTTAGGGATGCCACGTCGAGTGTCACATCGGGGTGTTATATGGGAGCGTTCGGATAGTAATAATAAAACAAATTATAGAAGTCATCAGTAATCCGCGAGATGAATTTATTAAGCCTAATTAATCCATCATTAGCATATGTTTACTGTAACACCACATTGTCAAATCATGGATTAATTAGGCTTAAAAAATCACCTCGTAAATTAGTCGCAATCTGTGTAATTAGTTATTTTTAGTCTATATTTAATACTCCATGCATGTGTCAAACATCCGATGTGATAGGGAGTAAACTTTAGGGGGAGGAACTAAACAAGGTCTAAGTAAATAACAATCTAAAGTGTCACAATATCATTTTTTATTCAGTTGTTGTATAGTTAAGAAATCAAGAATTGCTTTTCTACACCGTTCCTTTTTATTTAATGATAAAAAAGTTAAATTAAATTAAGTTTTGTAGGTTTTTGTAAAAATAATATTTATAGGCGTGGCATGATGTATATCCACATTTGGCATGCCTTTCCATCCATATTTGGATTGCTTAAATGTTTGAACTAAGCAAAGATAAATCAATAATAAAGATTTCATGAGTTAATTTACATTCCTTGAAAAGGAGTCGCCTTTTTTTACTCAGGAGCCGCCCTTTTCCCACCTGATGCAATTGCTATCCCGCGCCTACGGTAACACAGGAGCAAGGGACTGTCGTTATGGTTTTTTTATATATAAACCAATTTCTTAAAGCGGACTAGTCACAAACTCCTCACAAAAAAGTTTCTTTTTCTGCATTTGTATTTGGAGGAGGTTAACGCGCGACCGTCGCGCTTTTAGGAGAGCGCGACGACCACCCTCCGCGCGACTCCACTCCTCTGCCCGATGACCTGACCAATCCCGTCTTAGGCTATCTCCAATAGCACAAACCCAAACTAGAGACCCATTTCATGATTTAGGTCATGCATAGTAAAAGAGTCACGCATCCAGAACATGTCTTCTACAACAGCCTATGCAAAAAGTCCTTGCCAAGCACCTTGCCGGCCTCGCTGCTGGCCTGACGGCTCCTCGCCGAGGTCCCTACGGCAATGGCTCCGCCATGTGAACCCACCCTCGCCACGCCGGCTCCTCGCCATGGCGCCGCACCGCCATGTGCGGTCCCTTTGGCCGCTGCCCGGCCACGCTTCTGCCATGGACCCGCCTCGCGCCGCCTCGCTCCTCGCCCCGCCCGTGGCTCCTCCCATGAACCCGCCGCCTCGCCGCTCCCTACCTCGCCCCGCCGGCCGCGCTCCGTCGCGGACCCGCCTCGCCCACCCGCTCTCGCCGCGCTGGTCTCGCGCTGGTGCATGCAGCCGCGCACTCGCCGTGGACCCATCTAGAAGCGTCGGTGGCTCCCCGCCGTGGGCTCGCCTCGTCTAGCCGGCCGCGCCTCAATGCGGGCCCACCACTACGGGTGCCAGAGATTTACGTCATCTCTCTCGAAGACCCTTATTTGCGTTTCGCCTCGGGTGGTATGCAAAATGGGTCCTCTGTTTGGGTCTTCTGTTGGACCGTATTTTTTTTGTACGCAAAATACTATGTACGACGTATTTTGCGTTTGGGGTGTGCTATTGGAGGGTCTTAGGCAGACTGGAAAGTACGTATCCGTTTGCAGCCAACTAGCTGTCGCCATCTAATGCTCTGTGACGTCATCTAAAACAAACAAAAAAAGCCCAATATTTTTCTTTGAACGGCTATAAATTTTTAATGTTGTATCCGTTTTCGATTCCATCTGCACCGGTGTGTTCTCCGTGACGAGACGAACAAAACTAGACCCACTTACTTATGTTTCAAAGAATTTTATTTTAGTAGCAATTTATATGTAAAAATATGCTAGGAGATTTACGAAAGAATTTGCTACCATGTAATACTAAACTTGCTACTCAAAAATATACTAAAGTTTTTATATGGTATGCACAAGCTCGGAGGAAAAAAAATCAAAAGAAGTTACTATCATGTAAAACTAAAGTTGCTACTCCAAAAATATATTAAAGTTATTACATAGTATGCACAAGCTGGGGAGAAAAAAATCAAAATGAGTTAATACCATGTAATATTATAGTTGTACAACTTTGGGGGCTAATTATTACAACGAATATAAACATAGAAGCTGTTGCACAAGCTAGGAGGTAAATTTTTTTGTGATAACTTATGCGTACAATGACTACCCTTTGTGACAACTTATATATTGTAGTTGAGGCAACTAATATGCAATATTTAGGAAGACATTCGAACCTAAAAGGGAGACTTAAAACTAAACTAAAAAAATTTAAAAAGCTTGACTGAAAACTAAAACAAAAAAACACTGGAAAAAATGAAAACCTAAATATATAGAAACTAAAAATACAACACTCAAAATAATAAGTGAAATAAACTGAAACTGAAGTTGACAACCAAGAAATTAAACTGAATTTTAAAAAATACAAAGAAAAAAAAACTGAAACTAAGGTTGACAGCCAAGAAATTTAACTCAAACTGAAAAATAGAAAATGAAAACTAAAAAAACAAAAAAGAAAAAGAACGGCGTCGGAATGTTGCCGTCGTACGCTCCGCAAAGCATGCAAGCAGCCGGTCACGCATGTAAGCAGGCCAGGCCGTGTACGCAAGCAAACAGGCCAGGCCGCGCCACGAGAGTCGCGCGGTCACGCAGGAGCGCGACTGGTCGCGAAGTAGCTTTTGCGTTTGTATTTGCTCTATTCGCATTCCAAAATTCGCCCAAGACCCGTTATAGCACGATGAGCCTTAACGCTCTTGGGCTCATGGCCCAAGCATGACAAGCATACTCTCACTAGCCCACATGCTCGCTCCCTACCGCTTGGGGGATAGTCTGTTCGGCCTATGCAGTTGGCCCATATACACGGCTCTCTCGAGGCTCGTTTGCTTCTCTCGCTCTCCCATGGCGGCTGCGACGGCGGCAGGGGCAGCCGCCGCGGCCGCCGCCGTATCCCTAATCGCCTGCTACCTCCTCCTCCACAAGAGTAGACCCAACCTCCCGTGGGTCCCAACGGTTCGGTTCTCCCGCGCGAGAAACCGGCGGGCGCGACGGAGGGGTCTCGTGGAGGCCATCGGCAACACACCTCTCATTCGCATCAACAGCCTCTCCGACGCCACAGGATGCGAGGTACGCTCGTGGAATCTTACTTACGTTGCTCCACTTTGATGTTTTGAGTAAAGTTTGGAGGTAGTGAATTGTTGTTTTGAGTAAAGTTTGGAGGTATTGAATGGCTGTTTTGAGTAGTTTGGAGGTAGTGAATTGTATCGCTCTCCCTTCGGTTGCAGATTCTGGGGAAGGCTGAGTTCCTGAACCCGGGTGGCAGCGTGAAGGACCGCGTGGCGGTTAAGATCATCGAGGAGGTAATTCTGCCATCCTGTTTAGATAGGATATGGTTATTATGTGGGAGGGTAAGAACTGCAAAATAGAGGTTGTGGTGAGAAGTTGCAGAACTGGACTATTGGTACTTGAGGTACTTTGAGCATGTAGATATTCGCTGAAAGATCGACTTGATCCTTTTCGTTTCTGGAGCAAGCAGCCCACACAACCTGATATGTCCAGCAGCCCATACATCACACAACCTGATATGTCCAACTCAAAATGTTCCACTAAGCATAACTATTTCCTATTTAACAGTTTATAAGTTTATTGAGTCATGAAATCCTTGCGATATAGTAATCTCTTGTCCTGGTATATTATTATTTTACCTTCATTTACAGTAGTGCTGTTATCATTCCCAGGCTCTAGAATCTGGAGATCTCGTATATGGTGGTACCGTATCAGAGGGGAGTGCTGGAAGCACAGCTATTAGCTTGGCTACTGTTGCTCCTGCCTATGGTTGTAGGTGTCATGTTGTAATCCCCGATGATGCTGCCATTGAAAAGGTAGAAAATTTATAACCTATCCAATAATTTGTTTTGCTTCCTACAACATTCTATCTTGTAGCATCTGGAACTGCATTTATAATGACCATCTGGTGTGCTGAATTGTGCTAGATGCTTTACTTGAGTATTTCTGCTATGACTGTAACGTACTATTTGCTTTAGTTCCATGTAATGTTATTCAACTTAGCAGTTAGAAGTCCTTTTCTCTGTTGCTTTTCTCCTGTATATGTAATATACTTGAAATAATATTGTTTTCCAGTCTCAAATAATTGAGGCGCTTGGAGCTACTGTCGAACGAGTGCGCCCTGTTTCAATAACTCACAGGGACCATTTTGTCAACATTGCCAGAAGAAGGGCTTTAGAAGCAAACAAATTAGCAGCAGCACAGAGGGAATCAAACGAGAAACAAATTAATGGTTTATCACATGTCGGTTCTGAGATGATGGATGACAAGTTAACAGCTATGCAGAGAGAGTCAAACAAGATGCAAAATAATGATCCAGCACATGTCAGTACTGAAATTCCACACTGTGGGAGATGTGATGTGATTTCTGATTCAAAGGGAGTTTTTTTTGCTGACCAGTTTGAGAATTTGGCAAACTATCGAGCACATTATGAATGGACTGGTCCTGAGATATGGAAACAGACTAAAGGGAACCTGCATGCCTTTGTTGCAGCAGCTGGTACTGGCGGTACAATTGCTGGAGTCTCACGGTATCTTAAGGTTAGATGCTTATTAATTTTTTGTTTCATATATTTTATCCTAGATAAACATCTTTTATGACTATGGTACCCCTTATTTAGGAAAAGAACAGGAGCATCAAATGCTTTTTAATGGATCCTCCCGGATCTGGTCTGTTCAATAAGGTGACCAGAGGGGTGATGTACACAAAAGAGGAGGCCGAGGGAAAACGGCTTAAGAACCCTTTCGATACTATTACTGAAGGAATTGGAATCAATAGGGTTACTAAAAATTTCATGATGGCAGAACTGGATGGAGCTTATCGAGGATCGGATAGGGAAGCTGTTGAGATGTCAAGGTACATGGTTACGTAGTGAAGTTTTTGTTGTTATTTAGAAGTTTTGATCTGTAATAACAATAAGCGTGCATAAGTTAGCCCAGCATCACAATATTTGTTCAGTACAGTATAATCTGTTGACTGGCATATTAGACTAAGAACATTTTTTCCTTCTTTTATTGCATTCCACTTCTCTTCACTTGTTGCATTCTGCCTTTATCTTGTCACAACAATGTTATTGGTCTTGTGATGCTTCCCTTAAACTGGAATTCCTCTTGATATTAGTTTTGGACTTTTGAGTTCTCATCATGTCTTATGCGGCACTTCCAACTTCAATGGAAGCCTTAATCAACTGTCGGATTAAGCATTTTTAGAAACATAATCAGTGTTATCCACATCTCATATTTAAGATATTTTGAGCAATGAAGGGAAGTCTATTTTCATAGTTAGCAGATAGTTCTCCAGTACTTCATCTTACAAAATTGTAAGCAAAAATCCAGATTAACTGACCCCAATTTATTTCGAACATAATTCAGGTTCTTGCTGAGAAATGATGGACTATTTGTTGGGAGTTCTTCAGCCATGAATTGCGTTGGCGCTGTAAGAGTTGCTCAAGATTTGGGTCCAGGGCATACAATTGTGACAATTCTTTGTGACAGTGGGATGAGGCATCTAAGCAAGTTCTTCAATGAGCAGTATTTGGCTGATCATGGATTGACACCAACAGCTACTGGTCTGGAGTTTCTTGATAAATGAGCAAATTTCAGAGGGAACTTTCAATTTCGGTGAAGTTGGCATGCTCCCTGTGACTGCGATGATACCTTGACACAGGGTGAACGCTGAATAGGTCAAAGCATGAAAATATGCCATACAGTTAGTAAACCCTAATGGATGAAGCATTGATGTATGCTAAGTACTAATTGTAGTCTAGTAGGAATTGCCATTAGATAGGATTGGGATAGCCAGTGTTTTGATTTCTTGTTTTGATATATTTCTATTGAGGCTGTTGCCAGTTAGAATGCTGCACCGGGCATCTTTGCTGCAAACAACTGCAATATATGCATTTTTTGTTAAAAAGTTTCAAGAACAATTCACCCGTTTTGATCTTTTGTGTTGTATATTGGCCATGACATCACTCTGCTTATATACTCTAGTTTATGTTGGTCTGTTTTTTCATTTTTCCTTGCTTCGTGTTGCTGGATGACATTAGTTCAGCTGATCAAAGATCTAGCCCAGCATATCCCTCCTTCCATATCAGTCTGCTGATTAAGTTTTGCTTCCCCATTTGCTTGTCAATATCTTAGTTGCCAAACATTTGTTCTGAAAATACTGTGGCTCTTGCTTCCATGCATACATGTCATATGCTGACATTGATGTTCAATAGGAGTTACCACTTTCTCAATAAACGGAGTTCAAACTGTTGTTGCTCTCTGAGCTTCGGGACGGAAGGAATAGCCGAATAGAAAAGGATCTTTTGAAATTGAAGGAAGCAATTGAGCATCTATCTACCTGCAGAAATCTGTCGGGTATCGGAGAACACATGCAACTTATACAGAAAAATAACCCTATGTCCGCGCTAGAGTAACCAGTTTACACGGTCACTAGTTCTGATGCCGCCTTCGTCTCCAGCCAGTGCTTGGCAGCAACGCTCGTCGTCAAGAACCAGCCGGCCTTGTCAGGTGCCTCGTGGAACGGCGCGTCAAGCTCCTTCAGATGCGCCTCGAACATGGCAGCCAGCCCTCTGTCCGAGTACGTGTTCTTCCCCTGCCCCGTGTGGATTCCAAGCAGCGGCGGCAGCCCCTCACCGCTGCTCTGTAGCGACGTATACAGATCGTTCATCCAGACGTGCAACGTGGTCAGTGCCGCGCCAACGGAGAGGCCCCTGAGGTGCAGCGACCACTGCGTCTGGGTCCTCGTCTGGATGTTGGTGTAGATGCCGAGTTGCTGTGCGGCGTCCAGGAGAGCGCAGGCCTTCTCCATCTGGTTCAGGTTCACGCATAGGTCCATCAGGCAGTTGCAGTAAGGCATCTTCACCACGCCGCGGGAGCTGTCCAGCAGTTCACTAGCTGCTTCTCTGAAAGATTCAGGGGAGGAGCTCCTATCCACTAGGAGCTTTACCACGGCACCAAGCTGGGCATTGCTCGTCTCAATACAGCTGATCACCTTGCCCAGTTCTTCCGCTGGTGTGTTCGCTGCAACGCTGAGAAGGCAGCCACAGAATCTGTCATCGGGGATGATACCGAGGTCCTGGAGCATGCCAAATGACCTGACCACATCGTCAGTGCGCCCAGCCTTGCCATAGCATCGGATGAGTGAGGTCAGGACAAAGATGTTTGGCTTGAAGCCAGCCTCCACCATTTCATTCAGTATGCCCTCTGCACCCAGGACGTTGGCAGTGGATGAATATAGCGTCACCATTGATGAGTAGCTCCAGCTATCAGGCTTGGAATGGGCATCCATGGACGCCTTCATGTCTCTGAAGATCTCCTCAGCCTCGTCGACATAGCCAATGTCGGCGCACATGGACAGAAGCATGTTGTACAGCATCACGTCGATGTCCATTGCCTCATCTTTCATCAGTCGGTACACGGCCATGGCATCCTCGCCATAGCGTGCCCTGGTGTATGCATGCAGGAGACAACAATAGGTCGCCCTGCTGGGCTGCACCTGCAGGTCAACCATCTCCCTGTGGATGGTCTTCACCACCCAAGGTCGCAATGCGCGGCCCATGGCATCCAACATTGTGTTGTACACGACCAGGTTTGGCTTCACGCCGGTTGCCTTCATTTCCTCGAACACGTTGAGTGCACCATCGAAGTTGCCACTGGTTGAATGTACCTTGATCACCGTAGAGCAGATCACAGGGTCCAGCTGCCATTTCTCCGCGCGAGCGCGATCGTACAAGCGGATGGCCGCCTCGGAGTTCCCAGCGCGGCCGTACGCGTCGATCACCGCAGAGTATGTGAGCATGTCCGGCGAGCACCCGAACTCCGGCATCTTGTCGAACCACTCGACGGCCTTGCTGTGCAGGCCGCAGGCACGCGCGCAGCTGATGACGGTCGAGAAGGTGGCGTTGTCGGGCTGCACGCCGTCCCGCAGCATCTCTGCCCACAGCGCCTCGGTCTCGCTCCAGTGCCGCTTCTTGCGCAGCAGCTTGAGCACGACGTTGTAGAGGATGACCTTCTTCCGGACCTTGGCGTTCCCCAGGAACCAGCGGAGAGCCAGCACGGCGGTCTCCGGCCTGGTGGCGGCAGCCGTGTTAAGCACGATGACGGCGTCCTGCTCGGAGGGAGGCTCGGGGAAGGCGGCCTCAAGCGCGGCCTCTACGGCGGCCTCGGCGGGCTCGCACGCGCCGAGCGCCGCGGCGGCGGAGGCGAGACGCGCGCGGCGGCCAGACCCGGCACGCGCGCGTGCGACGTCGGCGGCGCGCGGGCTGTTGGGGTTGACCCAGAGGAACCTCGTGGTGTTGCTGCTGGGCTTTGTGCCATTTGGGCTGGAATCAGATGGAGGCGCCGGGTCTTGAGGTTGGGGAGGCGTGTCCTGGACGGAGACGTGAGCAGCGACAGGGGAGGAAGGACTCTTAGGGTGGAAGGAGGCGGAGATTGGCCGGTGAGGCCATGAGGGTAGTAGGGAGGACGGCGAGCGGCACAGAGGCAGGGAAGCCATGGATTCCCCCTATGGAGTGGATTGGGGGTGGGAGAGGCCGGGAGCGTGACAAACAAGTGACGACGCAGCGGCGCCTCTCTGTCTGTCAGTTCATGGGACCCACATGTCAGCGAGCGTTGGGGTGGAAGAGGATCTCAAGAGAGAGGGCGTGTGACGGTGTGAGAAGGATGGATCGCTCTTCCCGCCGCTCTGCTCCACCCTCGAGTCCAGACTCTGACTCTGCAACTGCAAGTCTGCAACTGGAGCCCGATTAAATTCGTAACGCCGCCAATCCACGGAACGGCGCTGCCGCCAGCCCATCTCCGACCCCCAACATCACCGCCGAGCGCCGAGCGCCGAGCGCCGAGCGCTTGCCTCTCGGCGCTTAACCGCGCCACGAGCTCCCGTCCTCTCTCGTTCCATCGCCGTGGCGGCGAGATCATCGGTCACTTCGGCGCAATCGCGCACGGCCCTACCGTCGCTTGCAGTGCGATGCGGCCGCCACTTCGTGCTGCTGCGCGCACCGCGGCCGGAGGGAGGTGGATGGCGCTTCGCGGGATCTAGATGATGGGTGGGTTTCAATCTGGCGGCGAATGTAGCCGTACCATCAGCTTGCTCGACGGCGCTCGCCAGGTGTTCGACGAAGCGCAGCGGTTGCTTCTCCCGAACATCGATCGTGTCCTAGAGTCTCGCAGTGCTCCTTACTGGTCTACCCAGAATCCCGGAGTGGCGGGTAGGTGTTTTGGTGAGCTCTGATGATACTGTGATCAAATTCAGCAATAAGGTTATTTCTAGCACACGATGCTCGACGCAGGTAATTATAGACTCAATCCTCCCCTTTTGTTGTGGGTATAAATGCAATGACGTGGGAACTCACAACTGATTATTAGTCAACAATTCAAACTGCGATTAATTAAACAAGATATTGAGATAGTATGCTTATTTCGGAATGCAATAGAAGATATGTTTTAAATTCATGAACAACTAGCTCTTTCATTTATTGTCATGTGCCCTTTGTTTCCCTCAAGTTTGGGCACAAACCAAGCAGGTAACTGTCACAACATGTAGAAATGACAACGGTTGCACCGAAGGATGATTATTTGACATTGTAATTTGTAAATAGTTGATGTTCCACTTGTTGTGCTGATTGCTGAGGTTCTGTCGAATTGGTTCATCTACAGGTTATAACTCCTGATATTTGTATGTAGGTTCATCGAAAAATCTATGTTAATTGTATTTGCTGGTTAATGGAAACATGAAACATATACTTATTTTTTACGCCTGTAATTTGCAATGCATTCCATCTTGAATTTTCATTTTCTCTTTCAGATTTAAGCACATCATCCACCCACATATTGTGATATGATATTGCAGCGACAAGTGGTGACCCGATATTGCTGCACCTATTATTCTTGTTCTGTCATACTGGAGTATTGCTAGAAAGCAACTTTAGTGGATTAAGTACCTATCAACTACTGAAATTCTTGCGACAGGCTCCACCTTGAAGTTAGAGTATGTCACTACCATTCAACCTGCTACTTGACCAACTGTGCTGACTTTTTCATTAGAGATTAATCTTATGTATTATGACAACAGTTTAGATACAGTGCACAGGTTTGTAATAACATGTAAACAAAACTAATATGCCTAAAAGGAGCATTGAGGTTACCTTGGATTTGTTTAATTCATAATTTTGATTTGGATCTTTGAGTAGTATCACCAGGTGCATATATTGCTGCTGCTAACTAATCTTACACACATCATCTAGCATGATTCAAATGTGACCCTTCTTGTCATGCTCGGCCACTTCTATGATTGAACTTCTCACACCTAAACAAATTATTAAATAAACAAAGCCAAAAAAATGTAAACCGATTGTTTATACGAACTTCTTGCAAACATCATATTGTAGATTCTCTCAGAAATATGGTATCTGACGATTTATTTGATTAGTTTTTATATTCATTCTAATTGGCTCGATATGCTTGAAGAAACAAAATGTAGTAAGAAGGAAATGCTTGTAAAACATGTCAAAGAAAACACACAAGTACACTGTAGGCAGCCATATTGAGCCAGACATTCTTTATTTTCTTCTGAAGTATTTGCAATATGCAGTATTGTGTAAGAACTCAAACCAATCATATAGGTGGTCCATTAGTAGCTTCATTGCTCAAACACTATTTGATTTTCACCGCTGCTATAGAATCACAAGCAAGAGTCATGAAACGATTAGTACAATGAGTAGGGATAAGTAAGATGGGAAAAGGGGAAGCGACGAGTGAAACATGCTACTCTTGTTTATTGGCCCATGTTCCAGTTCTGATGATTTCTTTCAATGATGTTTGGCATCCCAACGAGCTACAGTTGGGAAACTTCTAGTTCAATAGCGTATTTCAGTTTCCAAGTGCTTAATAGTTTTTCTTGTATTGGTACTTGAGGAATGCAGCTAAATGATGGAAAACTACACCTGCTTGAATCTAGAAACCTGTATCAGTATGTGTTCAGCATCACACAAATGGATTTCCATAGGAGTTTTCTCCCAGATCATGGTGATGCTTTTCTTTGGTGCACTTTTGGAACATAGAAGTCACGGTTGGTGAGTAAGAAGGTGTTTCCTTATTTCTTGAAACCTAGGATGATATATATGCTTGGATTTTCTTGAACTGCTTTGTATCTTCTTTGGAAAAATCATATTTGCATCACTTGGATTTTTGCATATTAAATAACTTCCAGATCAACTCTTTCTGCCACTATGTAGTATGTTGAGAGCTGAAGTTGCATTATTCTGTATGCAATCTTGAATATAGTCACTTCAGTCACATCGAAGCATGAACTCATGTTTATCATGGATATTGATTGCTTCGAAGAGTGGAAACATCATCACATGCTCTATACATCTTTAACTGCTCTCCTGGAGATAGAATGTCAGCTTATTCGGTCAGTGAAGTCCTCTTTTTCTTTCTTACATTGGTGACAATAACTTTATAGCAGTATGATAAATGAAACATTCAATCATGTTCCCTAATAATGTGTGCCATGATCATCCTCAATCTTGGTGCTGAACTCAATAGCTCCTAAAAGTTGTTCCATCAAGTTGATATTATTCTTATTTAAAAAAAGTTGATATTATTCTTGTTTAGTCCATTTATAGTAGTACTAAATGGGGAAAAAATGTTTTGGTTTTGGTTGTCATATTCGGTATTAGTCAGCTTTGCTTGTAAGTCAATGTGTCTGTCTGCTTAAAAATCATAAGATCAGAAAGAGGTATTAGGTTCCATAACTGGAGAATGGAGGTACCACTAAGCTATATGCTAGTACTATTTCCATATATTGTACCTGGGAGCAATATGGGCTAACCTTTTAGTTTTATGGGCAATGACCAGATACTGTCAACTGTCTATCGCAATGTTACTTAGCGTACTTTTCGTAATATAATCCTTTGCAAGGTTCCATCTGTAATGTTGCAAGAGGTGCCAGGACTACAGCAAGCTTAAAAATTAAGTTTTGAACTACCTATATTTTTGCAAGCTTCGTTTTCAACTCTGCCTTTTGCAAGCAAGGTTTATTTGTTTGAAGACCTAGCATAACCCTCTTACTTTAGGCCATTGAACAGAACTAGGAGGTACAGGAATGAGAGGGGAATAGCATATATATGAGTGACATGCACATTGGATTCCTCTCAATTGAGGGATAAGGAACATGGGTCCAAGGTTTTGGTGTCTTGCTATGCGGATGCATGGTACCTTCACAGTACATGTATGCCTGCTTTGCCTGTTTATATCTTTTTTTTTAAATGAACTTTGCCTGATTATATCCACACTCTGTATATGTATGCTTGGTTTCCCGATTAGGATAGGATTACATCAAGGGTCAGCTTTGAACCCTTATCTGTTTGTCTTAGTGATGAATGAGGTCACAAGGGACATACAAGGGGACATCCCTTGGTGTATGCTTTTCGCGGACGATGTAGTGCTAGTTGATGAAAGCTAGACAGGAGTGAATCAGAACTGGAGTTATGGCGGGAGACTTTGGAGTCCAAAGGTTTTAGAGTCGGTAGAACTAAAACTGAGTATATGAGATGTGACTTCGGCACTACTACTCGGGAGGAGGAAGATATTAGTTTGGAAGATCAAGTACCTTTCGATATTTAGGATCAATGCTACAGAGAGACGGGGATATTGATGAAGATGTTAGCCATAGAATCAAAGCAGGGTAGATGAAGTGGCGCCAAGCATCTGTTGTCCTATATGACAAAATGGTATCACAGAAGTTAAAAGGCAAGTTTTATAGGACGACGATTAGACCTACTATGTTGTATGGTGCAGAATGTTGGCTTACGAAAAGACGATATGTTCAACAGATAAGTGTCGTGGAAATACGTATGTTGCGTTGGATTTGCGGTCATACAAGAAGGGATCGAGTTCGGAACGATGATATACGTGATAGATTAGGGGTAGCACCAATTGAAGAAAAGCTTATCCAACACCGGTTGAGATGGTTTGGACATGTACAACGGAGACCTCCAGAGACATCGGTGCGTAGTGAAATCCTAAGCCAGGATAGTAACGTGAAGAGAGGCAGATGAAGACATAAGTTGACTTGGGTAGAGGCAATAAAAGGAGACTTGAAAGGATGGAATATACCCAAAGACTTAGCTTTAGATAGGAGTGCTTGGAAAACAGCTATTCATGTGCCTGAATCTTGATGGCTTCTGCTGGGTTTCAACTTTAGTCTACCCTCAATTTGTTTGGAACTTAAAGAATTTGTTGTTGTTGTTGTTTCCTTGCCTGGCTGGGCAAGAACATTTACCTGTGGCTGCTTTTGTTGCATGCCCGTGAAGTCCCAATCGTTGACCTATAGTCAATTTCCACGATCACTAATTCTTAAATTCAGATATATAGGAGGATGATATGATGATAACAGACAAGCATTAACTGAATCGCATACCAAGTTTTTCACTGAAAAATTAACCACTCGTTGCTTCCATATCCCATCCAAAGCATTTAATGCTGAACAGTATA